AAATATAGAGGAGAAACGTAAAAATTGTTTGATTATCTTTTAGTTTAGCTTTTGTTAAAACATTATTGAAATTTGAATTAAATGCAATTTTTTTTGAAGAAAATACTTTTGATCTATTATATATATATATATATTTGAGAAAGAATTTATTTACATATATATCTTACATACCATATTTACATAAAATCTCAATCATCTCTCTACTTTCAATGATTGATGGTTGAGATTTAGAGTGTGTTTGGAATAGCGATTGAAAGTTTTTTGGTATAGTCATACAGTACTTTTAAATATATATGTGTTTAATAATTTTTTCTCAAATTTCTTTTTCTAAAAACTGTAGAAAATCACAATAGATTTACAATAACTTTATATATAAAGTCAGAAATCTCATTTTAGAGCATTTTAATTGTGGTTTTTACAGGGACAATACTTAATATTTAATATAATCACAAATTTACCCACTAAAACCAAATTTCATATAATTTAATTACATCATAATGTATAATATTTTAATAATGATAACAAATTAAAAAAAATTCAATTATTAAAAAATAGTAAATTTTTTTATTTTAATAATTATATATCTTACAATATTTTTTAAATTTTAATTAATAATTAATAAAATCTATCATATTTCATTTATAATATTTTTAAGAAATAAATAACTAAACACCACAATAACTTTCAGTTACAGTTACAATACATTATAATTTAGCACAATCATAATCATTACTACAGCCACAATACTTTATAATAATCTCAAACGCACTTTTATTTATATCTATTAAAGATAATTACTTTTTTATCTAAAAAATCATACTAAGTTTTAACTATTAAAAGTGAAAATCAAATGAATAATTTAAATTTTTTATAAATGTAATAAATAAAATTTATATATAAATAAATCCTTTATATATATATAAATATGAAGGCCCAAAATTTTTTGTAATAGTCGAAAAGGCTTAAAAATCATTAATTTCTAGAAGACATATATAAAAAAATTCAAAAAATTCGGTTATACTCAATCTCGTACTGGGTTTTCGATTTTTACACCTCAGTCACTAAACCCGTCCAATGGAGATTAGGTTACAACCGAACCCAAGTCAAAAAATAAAAATAAAAAATAAAAAAATCAGTCAAGCTCAACCTGCTAATTATGATTTTAATCGATTTTGAATTTTGTTTGGTTGCAGACTTTTTCACCCACCATATTTACAAGCCAATCATGTTGTGGTTTACCGGCCACACCCTCTATTGAACCAAGAGAGGACACCAAAGTCCAAGGTTCTAGCCTTGGCATTCTCATTTCCTTATCCCCCAATTTACTTAGTTTAAAATAATAAT